ACATTACTAAATTGAGAAAATGGAGTCAATCCGCTCATATATATATATATGCTTTTATTTAATAAATGTCTTTATATTCTTTTAATTTTGGTCTAGTGTCTCCGTAAATGGGGCTATCGTCGTTGTGAGGACATATGCTGGATTAAGACAAATCGAGGTCACCGAGTCTCAGGCTCTGTGGCTTCTAGCGACAATGGTATTCTCACTACTGGTCAGCCAGGTCCATCCTTGCCTGGCGGCAAGGGGGTCTCCTCAGAAACAATTAACAATATTTCGGCAGAATCAATTTCCATGAGTGGTGTGAGCAGACGAGGCCAGCAACGACAATTGGAGCCTGGTGCTGTTTTCCAGCGTACTAAGGAACATTGCCTAATGGGAATAAAGGGTACTGTAAGAAGGTCTACAGACGGCGATTTCATCCACGCTAACATCGACATTGATCTTATAATTGAGGAGGGTGATGGCTCTGTTAGCGGTGGATCTGATGTCTCTGGAGGAGCCTGCGGGGGCTCAGGTGTCCCGGATATAAAAGCCAGAGGCATTGCTGGTTGCGGTGGGACTGGAGAAACCCTAGGCTTAGGTGGCTCACGCGAGAAGCCTACGGAGATATTCCATATAATAGAGCATTTCTGCTTGGGTCGGCGACGCTTACATATTTTCGGGCGAGATAGCACTCTCCGATCCGTGAGTTAATGTCCTTTCGATTTATCTTCTCAAGATAAGTTATAGCTCACACTAAGTGAGTCTTTTTTATTCATAGGCATTTACCTTAATGATTTTTCACAGCACGGATTTTATGGTGAGGTCTAGTATATTTCACTTTAGATGTTGCAAATTATGTGACACTGATTTTGATTAGGCCCGTAAGTGTGGCGTCCTAAAGTTTTGTTGAAGACTTTATAATAGTCCTGATGTCTCCATTCTTAACTATTCATTTAATAACATTCTCAGAACAATTTAAATTAAGAAATGGTCTGTGATATGATGCAAGTGATAGTTCATACTATGAGATTCGTTCACGCTATTTCGTTTATGATGATGAGGAACTAATAGTTGAATTTCCCAATAATGATTTGAGTAGGCCTCATTTTGCTATTAAGTGTCACATAGCTTTGCTTCCCAAAAGGTGTCTTCATCCAGGATGGACTGCAGTTTTGACCTGGCCTATATTTAATCACTATCCCCAACGGTACTCGAACCCTAGTTAGCGTGTTGAGATTATACGCTGCACCCATTGGGGGTGCTGTCGAGACCTAGGCCAAGTCGAAGCTGCAGTCCACCCTGGATTAGAATACCTTCTGGGAAGCGAGCTTATGTGAAATTCAATGAAAACGTAAAGTCTACTTATTTCATTGTGGGAAAATTCAACTGCCAGTCCATCATCTTAAGTGAAATAGGATTAATACATCTCTTATTTATTCTTTGATTTCTTTTCGCTACTGTTCGTTGAACCATAAATCTGAAAGGATCCTGATAAGTTAGTATATGTGAAATTTAAGCATTCCCTATGACATTTAGATACACTAATACAACTTAACGTTTAATTTCTAAATAAAATTAGGTTGGAATGGATTCGTGAATTGGCCTCACCAAACATCGTAGGAAGTTCGTCCTGGATTGGAAATTGTTGGATTTTGAAATTCGGGGGAAACGTAAGGTCTATTAATATATCTGATAACAATTCGACTACCAGGGTAAATACACTTCATATATACGATCTACTAATAGCCTTGAAGACTGTATGTGTTTCTTAGTTGTAATTACGATAATTTTTCTATATATCTTAGTCCACTATTTTTCTCTCATACCAGGACAAAAAGCTTATCAACTTAACTGGGTGTGTGCCCGACTTTGCGCAATCGGA